TTACAAATGACCTGTTGTCTTAAACGCATCTAAAAACGAGCCAAACGAAATTACTCCCAGGCACCTTTATGCTTAATTAGTTTTACGGTCGGCGTGCCTCTTCTTGACAGAGCTTGGGAGATGTACGCCGCCTCCGCCTAAATCCTTTCAGTCTCTCATCTGACTAAAGCGTTCTAGGGTGTCACCGCTTATCAGAATTAATTAACAAACTCTTGTCCCCCGGAGAGTACGATTAGAACAGAAAGAGGTTTGTAATTAAGTTTCGATCTCCGTCCTTGCCTAATAAGAAGGACAGGAGGGCCGGGAGGTCTTGGCCGCTTTGACAGGTTGCATAGGTCTCCAAAGCGCGGCTGGCCTGACACCATATATTGGGCAGTTTAATGGTCATTGATCAAGCTACAGTTAATTGTGGGAGCAAATGTATTGACTGTACCGCAGAGGGACCCGACAGACAATTTGCACTTAAAGTTCAAAGAGAAGACACACGCCGAAATTCAATAAAGGTTTGTATTGATTTTCCCGCTAATTGCCATCGAAATTCATGAACATCTTGAACTTTGAAAGAAACCCATATTATCAGCAAGATTATATTTGGAGGCTTTATTATGCTTTTTAGATATTTTGATTGGTGTAAACCTTATGTACCAACCACTCATCTAATATTGAGGAGACAACCCCCCTTTTGGCAGCCAAAACATCCCTGATCAGTAAATGCATAGACCTCTGAAGGTGTACTTTGATGCAGGGGCCTCCGGGCAATAGGGGATCATGGGGCCCCAATATCCTTGCCCACACTCAAAAAAGCCTATAAAAAAGGTACCAGGGGCATTTCATGGGGCCCCCTACTGACCCCGGGCCCTCAGGCAGTGCCCGAGTGCTCGAATGGTCAGTCTGCCCCCTGCTTGGGACAGGTGACATGTCCCAGGAGGTTGCTTGGGTGAACTTCCATTTGGCAGGCCTAGGAAGTGGTCAGTCCGCCCCTGCTTTGGTGTCATTGGTAGCAGATCCTGTAAGTTGTGAGGTGGGACCTCCATGGATTAGACTTGTTTTTTCCAGCACATTGTATTGAGATCTGGAGAATTTAGAGGCCAAGTCAAACTTGTTGTGTTCCTCAAACGATTCTTGAACCATTTTTGCAGTGTTATTCTGCTGAAAGAGGCCACTGCCATCAGGAAACACTGTTTCCACGAAAGGGAGTACTTGGTCGCCAACAGTATATAGGTAGGTGAGGCGTCCCTAGGGTTGGTGTCACCCGGTGCGGTAACACTTGGTGACACCCCCTCCAACAATCCCCGCAGAATGGATCGGATCTGCGGATTGAGCATAATGGATCGGACTCCAAATAAATGTGTGGATGGGGGGGGATCAGATCATTTTTTTTCCATTCAACCCACTGACTGACTGAATGAAAAAAATGATGAATGTATGGACTGCTTACACAGTTCCTTGCATTTGAATGTGAACAGCCTGGATCCTTTGTTCCGTTAACTTTCACAATTATGTGCTGTTTGTCTTGAATTTCTGAGCCAGCCGTGTTTTCTTTATCTGTTTTAAATTGCCTAAATTAAAACAGAGACAAATTATACATAAAGCTTTCTTTTTATCGCTAGTTATGTAAATACATTACTGTCCATAGTCTGGGAACATGGCCACTTTAAGTCATCAATACGGAATAAGACAGATAAAAATGCAAATTTCACTTGTCTATAAAATGGTTCATTTGAGTTGAAAATAGATTTCTATATAACACAATTTCCTTGCAAACGGACAAAAGAAAGATAACTGCAAAATAGCACGGTACATAAACCAATCCTAGACGAAAGTTTCAAAACGAAGAAAAACAATGTGTCACTTTGTAAGCATGCAGCGGAGGATTTCTGAAATCACACTTTCAATGTGCGAATCAATAAAAAGGTTTCCACAAAAACAAAAATGTATTATATTTCAGCGTACTATTACTTAGGCTCCATGTACACGGGACACTTCTGAACGATGGAAACTGACTGCTGGAAAACGTAGGTTAAAAAACGTCTGTTTAGCCGTGTTTGCATCCCGCGTTTATGAGCCTTTGCATTTAGAAGGGATATGGAACAGTTAAAAAACGCTTTTAACCTCCTTAGCGGTATTCCTGAGTGTAGCTCGGGGTAAAATTTGAGTACCAAGAGCGGTAACCCCGAGCTACACTCGGGCTTACCATGCGGCGTTGCTCAGGGAGTCCCTGCAGCACTTACCTTGTCCTTCGCTCCCACGATGTCCCCGACCATCTCCTCCGGCCGATCCGGCATCCGTGTTTCGGTCCCTGTGACGTCGGGACGTACGGGCGCCGGAACCGGCGGCAAATTTGAAATTTTTTAAAAAATGTCATTTTTTTAAAAAAATGATTATTACATAGTAAAACATTCCTGTATCAAACCATTTCACATACATTTTGTCCCGAGTGCTTTGTCCGGCGCCCTGCCTGCATTTTGTCTGTTCTTTCTGCCTGGAAACTTAGAAAAGTCCATGGCGTCCAAAAAGCGTCCCTTTAGGTCAAAAGCGGTTTTAGACCGGCTAGAGAAGAGCGATAGTAAATCAGAACCACTTGCAGAATTGAGTGATGATTCGTGGGGGAAATTCCTCATCAGACACTGAAAACGATTTTGCGACTTTGCTCAGCGATGTGCGAACTTGGCGCTATATTTCACATTTCAGTGTTTTTGGTTTGATTATATTATTGAATTAAATTTATTATTATTATATTATTATTTTTTAGATTATTTATTAAATTATAATTTATGATTTCGTGTTTCAAATTTTATCCTCCCCGGGATGTTTACTAGACTCTTGTTCGGACAGATTTCAGTGAGTTATTCCTAAAAATTACAGCCTACAATAAAAAACTAAATATTTCCATGGAAAAAAATGTACCGCTTTCAGCACAAAAAATCGGAAATAATCAGACCGCCTGGGAGGTTAAACGCAAATGCTTATAAACGCAGTTAGCCACGTTTACAACCGTTTGGCATTTGAAATGTTGATAAAATCTACTCCTGAACTTAAGTTTGGTGCGTTCGAAAAAAGACTGTAAACTCAACTGCCTGTAAACAACTGTAAACGACGATGTTTACACGGACACATAGGAAAACATTAGTGGGAGTTCAGGGCAGGATCAGACTGACCATTTAGGCACTCAGGCACTGCCCGAGGGCCCGGGGTCAGTAGGGGGCCCCATGAGATGCCCCTGGTACCTTTCATAGGCTTTTTTGGGTGTGGTTTGAGCATGGGCAAGGACACAGGGGCCCCATGATTACCTATTGCCCGGAGACCCCATGAGGTGTCAGTCCGCCCCTGGTTCAGGGGCTGCTGAAAAAAACACAGAAAAGCTCATGAACGTCAGTTTACGAGCTGCAGTGTACATGGGCCCTAAGGCTTCATTCACACAGGTGCACTCCCCTTTCCCCCCAGTACCAGACTGCCGCGATCCCCCGCTATCAGACACCAATTCACTGTTCCGGCGATTCGAAATCCCCGGGGCTTAATCTCCTCTCCTAGCTGTGCTGACAGCTCAGGCTAGACGGATTCTGATTGGTCAGCGCTGTCCATGTGACGTTGCTGAATAATTAGAATCCTTGTAGTCTGTACCAGATAAGCAATGCAGAGAGGAGATTAAAGCCGCAGGGATTTTAAATTCCCGGAACAGGGTCCCTGAATCCACTCTGCCTGCGTTTGGGGACCTGCACCCACTTGGGTGTCAAATTAGGAGCAGCAGCTGTGTCCGTGCAGCTGCTGCATCCCAGTCTGGAAGGGCAAGAGACCTTATTTTTGTCTGCTTCTGTTGTGTAACCTACACGGTCAGAGGAGACGCAGCGGACTGAGGAGTTAACCTCTTTATCACTCTGATCTCTTCTTCTGTCAGCATGCTCTTTGTGAGCACTGACTCTTTGTGGCGGACTGACCATTCGAGCACTACCCGAGGACCCGGGGTCAGTAGAGGGCCCCATAAATTGCCCCTGGTACCTTTTTATCTGCTTTTTTAAGTGTGCTTTGAGTGTGGGCAAGGACACAGGGGCCCCATGATCCCCTATTGCCCTGGGGCCCCATGAGTTGTCAGTCTGCCCCTGGCTGTACCCTTCCTTCTCCCAGTAAGAGCTCTGCTGTATAGAGGACTGCAAGTGACAAATACTCAGTGGCATCCCAAGGCAGGTGCAGGACCACACCGGGTGAAACCTACCTCATGGGGTGACACTGGACCCACTCCACGAAAAGGTAAGTTGTAAAGCAAGCCGACGATCCCCGCAGGATGGATCGAATATGCGGACTGAGCAGAATGGATCGGAGTCTAATCCATTATGCTCCCCAATCCGCGGTTCCGATCCAACCTGCGGGGGGATCCTGATCTTGCTTTGCAACTTACCTTTTCGTGGAGCGGGTCCGGTGTCACCCGTATAAATTGCATGCCGACGATCCCCACAGGATCGATCAGATCTGCGGATTGGGGAGCATAATGGATCGGACTCCGATTATGCTCAATCCGCAGATCCGATCCATTCTGTGGGGATCGTCGGAGGGGGGTGTCACCAAGTGTTATCGCACCGAGTGACACCAACCCTAGGGACGCCCCTGCAAATATCAAGTCACATTCAGGAACATTTAATGAATACAACGCTGTAATAATTTGAATCTTTTTTCTCTGTCTGAAGTTCTGGAATAAAAGAAACAAATGTGTTTTAATATTGGATTATCCCTGCAATGTCACTAAGGCTGGCTTCACACCTATGCAGGTTGCGTTTGACCCTTTTCTGCACTGCGTTTTGCGTTTTTGCACCTGCATTTTTGATGCATTTTTTTTTCTTTAATTTTTTAAAATTTTCTTGTTGCTAGGCAGATTTAAAATGCATCAAAAACGCACTACATGCTTTTCTGCAGAGTTTTCGTCGAAGTCTATAGAACCAAAAACGCAACTTTTTGCATTAAAAAAAGTCCCTGACCCTTTCCAAAAAACGCACCGGGTGAAAATGCCGAGATGTGAACGTGTCCCATAGTAAATCATGTTTAATGGGACTGTACTGCGTTTCTGCAAAACGCTGTGGAAAACGCTTGGTGTGAACCAGGGGCGGGCGGACCATTTGAGCACTCGGGCACTGCCCGAGGGCCTGGGGTCAGTAGGGGGCCCCATCAGATGCCCCTGGTACCTTTCATAGGCTTTTTTGGGTGTGGTTTGAGCATGGGCAAGGACACAGGGGCCCCATGATTACCTATTGCCCGGAGACCCCATGAGGTGTCAGTCCGCCCCTGGTTCAGGGGCTGCTGAAAAAAAACACAGAAAAGCTCCATGAACGTCAGTTTACGAGCTGCAGTGTACATGGGCCCTAAGGCTTCATTCACACAGGTGCACTCCCCTTTCCCCCCCAGTACCAGACTGCCGCGATCCCCCGCTATCAGACACCAATTCACTGTTCCGGCGATACCTTTTTATAGGCTTTTTTGGGCATGCTGTGAGTGTGGGCCAGGACACAAGGGCTCCATGATCCCCTATTGCCCGAGGGCCCCATGAGTTGTCAGTCCACCCCTGGTGTGAACCTAGGGTACCTCCTGGCAGATTTGGAGTTCTTGTCCATGGATATGGTGTCACTAACAGCGTGGACACTTCCATCATGTCACGGTGGTCCCCCCCCCCCCCCCACACACACACACACACCCGCACGCCTCCGATCTAATAATATCATTTTTTACGCTTTTAACCTGGATGAGAAAAAACCGAGGCGGATTAACTGGAGTGTGTGATCCCCACGGGGTGCAGAGTTTCTGGATGAGCTGGATAAAACAATAGCTCCCCCCTCCCGCTTTATTCATGAGATTTGTAGTCCAAGTAACTAACGGTGCAGAAAAAACATTAATTACAACCGCCTGCACAATTTTTCTAATTCAATTTAAATAAGATGTTCCCAGCCAAGCTGATTAGAATGTTATTTTCATATTGCTACAATGTAACAATGGAAAATAGATTCCGATACAAATCCTTCTTTGCTCCCCCCCCCCCCCCCCCCGACCTCTTTGCTGTAAATGTGTCAGGAAATAAATGGCGTTATGCAGTTATTAGTATTGGGGAGGCTGCAGTGACACGGACATTTTAATAAACAGGCAGCAAAATTTATTATGGGGGGGGGGGATTGTATACTTAGAGTATATTACCCCAACGTTTAATATTCCTGATATTATAGGGGGGGGGGGGATTGTATACTTAGAGTATATTACCCCAACATTTAATATTCCTGATATTATATGGGGGGGGGCTTGTATACTTAGAGCATAGTACATTTAATATTCCTGATATTATGGGGGGGTCTTGTATACTTAGAGTATATTACCCCAACATTTAATATTCCTGATATTATGGGGGGGGGATTGTATACTTAGAGTACATTACCCCAACATTTAATATTCCTGATATTATGGGGGGGGATTGTATACTTAGAGTACATTACCCCAACATTTAATATTCCTGATATTATTATGGGGGGGGATTGTATACTTAGAGTATAGAGTATACCCCAACATTTAATATTCCTGATATTATGGGGGGGGGGGGATTGTATACTTAGAGTATATTACCCCAACATTTAATATTCCTGATATTATGGGGGGGGGGGATTGTTTATACTTAGAGTATATTACCCCAACATTTAAAATCCTGATATTATGGGGGGGGGATTAGAGTATATACTTTGAGTATATTACCCAACATTTAATATTCCTGATATTATGGGGGGGGGGGGTTGTATACTTAGAGTATATTACCCCAACATTTAATATTCCTGATATTATGGGGGGGGATTGTATACTTAGAGTATATTACCCCAACATTTAATATTCCTGATATTATGGGGGGGGGGGGGGATTGTATACTTAGAGTATATTACCCCAACATTTAATATTCCTGATATTATGGGGGGGGCTTGTATACTTAGAGTATATATTTTATTCCTGATATTATGGGGGGGGGGGGGCTTGTATACTTAGAGTATATTACCCCAACATTAATATTCCTGATATTATGGGGGGGGGGGGGGATTGTATACTTAGAGTATATTACCCCAACATTTAATATTCCTGATATTATGGGGGGGGATTGTATACTTAGAGTATATTACCCCAACATTTAATATTCCTGATATTATGGGGGGGGGGATTTGTATACTTAGAGTATATTACCCCAACATTTAATAATATTCCTATATTATGGGGGGGGGGATTGTATACTTAGAGTATATTACCCCAACATTTAATATTCCTGATATTATGGGGGGGGGGCTTTGTATACTTAGAGTATATTACCCCAACATTTAATATTCCTGATATTATGGGGGGGGGGGATTGTATACTTAGAGTATATTACCCCAACATTTAATATTCCTGATATTATGGGGGGGTTGTATACTTAGAGTATATTACCCCAACATTTAATATCCTGATATTATGGGGGGGGGGGATTGTATACTTTGAGTATATTACCCCAACATTTAATATTCCTGATATTATGGGGGGGGGGGGGGGGATTGTATACTTAAAGCATATTACCCCAACATTTAATATTCCTGATATTATGGGGGGGGATTGTATACTTTAGAGTATATTACCCCAACATTTAATATTCCTGATATTATGGGGGGGGGATTGTATACTTAGAGTATATTACCCCAACATTTAATATTCCTGATATTATGGGGGGGGGATTGTATACTGATATTATGGGGGGGGGATTGTATTAGAGTATATTACCCCAACATTTAATAATCCTGATATTATGGGGGGGGATTGTATACTTAGAGCATATTACCCCAACATTTAATAATCCTGATATTATGGGGGGGGATTGTATACTTAGAGCATATTACCCCAACATTTAATATTCCTGATATGCGTATGCTGTACCATGCATTTAAAGTGGTTCTAAAGACTCAGGGTTTTTCCTTCATGTATTCTATGCATTAAGGAAAAAAACCTTCTATGTGCAGCCCCCCCAAGTCCTCCCTAATTCTTACCTGCATATTTACCACAAGGCAAACAAGGCATCTGCCTAGGGCGGCATCTTTAAGGGGGCAGCTGCATTTTTGGGGGGGCTGCTTGATGGTGTATGCAGAGCCTGACTGTTGTTCCTGAGGTAGTGGAAGGCTCTCTTCGTGGGGGAGGGGGGTGTTGGTCGGTGTCAGAGCCTGACTCTTGTTCCTGAGGATGTCCAGGGCTGTGAAGGTGAGTGTGTTCTCTCTCGCCGGAGTAGGGGTGGGGGGGGGTTGCCAGTGCATGGGGGGCGGTGGTAGTGGAAGGCTCTCTTCGTGGGGGGGAGGGGGCTGTTGGTCGGTGTCAGAGCCTGACTCTTGTTCCGGAGGATGTTCGGAGCTGTGAAGGTGAGTGTCTTCTCTCGCCGGGGTAGGGGTGGGGGGGTTGCCAGTGTATGGGAGGTAGTGGTAGTGGAAGGCTCTCTCCTTGGGGGGGCAATTTTTGTGTTGCCTAGGGCAGCACAAAACCTAAATACACCACTGCCTGAGCCCCCCCCCCCCCCCTCTGATCCAGCGATGTTCACAATAGCCTGGGCTGTATGGGGTCTCTCCCTCCTCATTGGCTGAGACAGCAGCAGGAGCCCATTGGATCTCGCTGATGTCAATCACAGCCAGTGAGTTAACCAAAACACTACCATGTGTTGTGGTTAACATGTTCCCCCCACTGCATGCTGTGCTTCCTCCTGCTGACCTCTGCATTACTGCAGAACTTCAAAAGTCAGGGAAAAGGGAATTGGGAAACGCTGGGGAATCCACGTAAGTATCTAAAAGTAGAGGTGCCACCAGAATGTCTGGAAGGGTGCTACCTAATCAATATGCAAAAACAAAAAGAGAGGAGGAAAAAAGGAGAGGAGCAGATACCGGTCCTGCTGATGGGTTAAGGACCTTCTACGGCCCTGTCCAGCTCTCCTAGAGAAACTGCCTGTCTCCTGGAATCTCCTCCATGCTCCTGTCTCCTGGAATCTCCTCCATGCTCTTGTCTCCTGGAACCTCCTCCATGCTCTTGTCTCCTGGAACCTCCTCCATGCTCTTGAGACTGTGCTGGGAGACACAGCAAACCTTCTGGCAATGGTACGTATTGATGTGCCATCCTGGAGGAGTTGGACTGCCTGTGCAACCTCTGTAGGGTCCAGGTATGGCCTCATGCTACCAGTAGAGACAACGACCCTAGCCAAATGCAAAACTAGTGAAAAACAGTCAGAAAAGATGAGTAGAGGAAAAAGTGGACACTTGTAAAACAATTCCTGTTTTGGGGGTCATCTCATTGTTGCCCATCTAGTGCACCTGTTAGTTTCATTAACACCAAAGCAGCTGAAACTGATTAACAACCCCCTCTGCTACTTACCTGACCAGATCAATATCCCAGAAGTTTCATTGACTTGATGCTAGACTCTGATTAAAAAGTGTTCCTTTCATTTTTCTGAGCCATGTATTAAGCGAGCTCTCCTGAATCCAAATTCCATGGATCTCTCCACAACACTTTACTCTCAAGTGTTCACCACGCCTTGCTGCCCTTCTCAGACTGGTCCAAACACACTAAGTATGAGGAGTCTTCAAAATGTTTCCGCACTTTTATGCAAATATATATGTTACAAAAAGTGCGGAAACTTTTTCGAGAAACCTCGCAAAAAAGAAGAGAGAGAGATGGTGCACCAGCCTAGTGCATTATCTCTAAACATTGTTTATTAAAAGATAAAGTAGGTCCAGGGGCGGATTGACAACTCATGGGGCCCCGGCAATAGGGGATCATGGGGCCCCTGTGTCCTTGCCCAAACTCAAAAAAGCCTATGAAAAAGGTACCAGGGGCATCTCATGGGGCCCCTTACTGACCCCGGGCCCTCGGGCAGTGCCAGAGTTTCCAAATGGTCAGTCCGCCCCTGAGTAGGCCATTATACTCACAAACCAGTGCTCATGAAACACGTTTCGTGGGGAGTCCCCTCTTCATCAGAGCTTAGGACCTTCCCTTGAAATGCGTTGGCATCTGCAGATCTTTGAGGCATCTTTCAAGCTTACATAAATTTCTGGTGGTTCCCATTTGGATATTTATGATGAGCATGTCCTTTTTACTGGCTGGTGACTATAATGACCTACTTTCCTTTTTAACCACTTGCCATCCGGCCCATGTATATAAACGGACCGGACGGTGGCAGTCCAGGGCGGGTTGCTGTTCATAAATGGTGCCCGCATTTTCAAGCTGTGCGCACTCCCTGGGAGCGCGCAGCACTGCGATCCGATGCCCACTGTAGTGCCCACAGTGGAACACTGATCGTCGTACGGGACCTCTGTGCGAGGTCCCGATCATGTGATCACTGATTGGCCAATCAGTGATCGCATGCAGAGTAGTAAGCCAGATGACATCATTGCTTACTATGTGTGAAATCTATGAATGATCACAGAGGTCACATGGTACAGGGCTATTCACAACAGCCTTGTATCATGTGACAAGCTGTGACCAATCACAGCTCACACAG